CTAGCTGCTGCTTCAAATCATTCACATATTTTTGTGTACCTCTCATTAGTTATCTCTTCATATGTGTGTTATCTACAGCTCGATAGGCGGGAAATGTCACAACTTTGTTAATTTGTTTTACAAAAAGATATTCATATGCCAATTATAATTTATTACATCAGTGTCCATGGCCCATTCCAAGGTGCTAAGGCATTTTTTTTCAGGGAGCAAGGCTCTTGGTGAACAGCATGCTCTTGTGGCTCTGTGGTCACCACTTCTCACTCCATTCCAGAGGAGGGGATGGAAGCCAGATTGTTGCAGTCCTCACTTCAGTGGGTGAGGACACCTGCTTTGAACCCACTACCTACCTTAGAAGCCTGCAGGCTTTTTCTTATTACATACCCCACCCAAAGACCAAAAAAAGGCAGACAAACCTGGTAAACATGCCATTCAATAGTGTATGTACTGACTTAAAGCATATACAATTTCTTCTTTACTAATACATTATGACATTATAACGTATAGTCAATACTGAGAATTTTTAAAGGATGCGATAAAGAGGAAAGAATAATTTGAAGTATTTTAAATTTAATGGTATAAAATTATTTTGCTTTTATTAAGATATCAATAGTGTTTTAGTGAGAGCAATGGAAGTAAAATGTGCTGCTTGCTTCTTATAATCTTAGTGTAATGGTTCTGTGATTCAGTGGTCCTAAGGGGTCCATCTAAGCTCAGTTTATTTTGATAACTTGGTTTCATAGCTGGAAACAAAACTTTGCAAAGATACACAAACTAGCTGGAGCAGACGGCTGTGTTGACCTCCTAAATCACAGGTTCATGCTCAGTTTTCATTCTTACCCACCAGTTCTATGAAGGTTCTTGTTGACATTGGGAAGGAAATTTCCGTCTTCCTTGATATCAGTTGTTGTATTGGCATTTTTTTTGACAAACAGATTCAAAATGTACCCAAATCTTATTTGGAAGTTTAGAAAATAACAAAATTCTGCTTATGCGTGTTTTGGTGGTAGAGATATTAGTACTTTCTGAAAACAGAAACCATCTTCAACCATAAATTCCTATGATGAAGGCAACATTTTTCAACATCTCAATTCAAGGCCTTCTTTTTATAGCATGTTTCTTTCAAATAGCAGTTACTCACTCAGTGTCAGATCTCTCCTTTTGCTTTGTGGGAGCAGTATCTGTCTTCCTAAGGCAACAGCTAAGGGTGCACTGCTCACTGTGGCCTCCTCCCCAGGCTCCTCAGCACAGCAGCCAGGGCCAGCGACTAAAGTGTGAGTCAACGACGTCACTGCCCAGCTCACCCTCACCAGGAGCCCTGCATCTCTCAGCATCCAGGCCCTCAGGGGAGGCCTGTGCCCTCCATGCCCCCTGCCTTAACTGCCCCCCAGATGCCCACGTGGCATGTTCCCTTGGCCCCTCTCCCTACCTCCTTGTGTGAGATCCCCCACACCTGTGCACCTGCACCTCCCAGCACTGCCTGACCTGCCCATGCTCTGTGTGTTCCCTCAGCCTTTATCACCCTCTCAGTTACTATGTAATTCACTGATTTTATTCATGCTGTGCCCCCTGCTTGAGGGCAAAGATTTCTGACTGTTTTGTTCACTGGTGCCTCCAAGGACAAGAGTGGAAATATTTAACAATGGGTACATAAGGCACCTGTTGGATACTGACCAGGATGCCAGCCATGTGGGTGTTTTCCAGGTGAATACCAACCCTGGATATAGCCTCAGCACCTGCTGCAGAGTAAATATTTTTTCAGTAAGTGCATGCCAAATGAATGAATTCAGCACCTTGTCATCACAGAAAAGATCACCAAATTTAGAACATTTGTCTTTCCATAAAAAAGAAAAATGAGTAATTCATCTTTATGTTCAACTTTCAGCTTGAATAAGATCTTTCCTGTGAGATAAATGGCAAACTTGTGTGTGCTACAAAAGATTTCCGTGGTCATGCCCTGCCTCAGGACAGTGAATTGTAAAGACGGTACGATTTATAAGATAATAAAGTTCAGCCCTTCAGTATGGAGGCTCATGTAAACCATGGTACCTCAACCCGTGCTGAAAGCGAATGAGGGCTCTACTGTCAGCCCCTCCCTCCCTCTCCTCTTTCTTAGTACAGTTCGTACATTGAACCTGACCTGGGAGAGTCTGATAGATGACCTAGCAAGAAGGGTATCAGCATAAGGCCATGCGTTCAATTTCAGTAAAGCTTAATTGAGTTTATCATTTGAAATAAAAAGGGAAATATTAATAGAATTCCTAACATAGTCTTCTCACGTGAGAGTCTGCAAACTTGCAAAATTAAGCATAATGATTTTTGCAAGAGCTGGACGTGGTGCTGCAAGTTCCAGCTACAGAGGAGGCGGGGGGATCACTGGAGTCCAGGAGTTTAGACTGTAGTGCAATATGACTGTGCCTGTGAATAGCCTCTACACCGTAGCCTGAGCAGCATAACATACCTAGGCACCGTCTAAAAAAAGGGGGGGCTTTATAAAGACTTTTGTAGGGATTTTTAAAGGCGAAGTGGTAGAAAGAGGATCTTCCATGCTTCTGTGGGTTGACTAGGCTTAGCTGGGTGGCTCTTACTCAGGCTTTCTCATGTCTGGGACCTGCACTGGCATGGCTAGAACAGTTTGGGGCTGGCCAGGCATCCATGGCTCAGCAGCCTCTCCGCTTGTCTAGCTTGGGTCTTCTCACAGCAGTCAGGTGTCTGACATGGCTGCTGCCGTCCCCAGAGACCCAGGTGGAGGTGCCAGCTTCTTCACAAAATCACTTTGGAAGCCTCAGAACTCTTTGGCCACAACAGGTCACAAGGCCAGCCCAGATTCAAGGGAGGAAAGTGAGCCTGTTGTGAGGTAAGCAGCAGCCTGCCTGTCCAAAGGAGGGCCAACAGGCCAGCAGACATTTCTCTCTGTCTTCCATAGCTGGTGTAGCACTGACCACACTGGATTAGGGGCTCACTCTGAGGCGTCTGCCCCTCCACTGGTCAGTAAGCTCCTTAAAGGCAAAGGCTATGTGTTATTCATCTTTCAGTCTCCAGCATCTAACATCATAACAAGTCAGTAGATGTTAGTTGGATTAAAATCAGAAATGCAAACATTTTAAGGAATTTCTAATTAGGGGAAAGTAGTCTCTAGTGCCATTTATGTAATTACACCACAAGATGTCTTTACAATGTACGCGGGAGGAAATGACTTAATATGGACACTAAAGAGATGACTGATTTAAATAATGACTTCTTAATCCAGAGAGTTAAATCATGAAAGCAATAGAGTTCACTCTACTCCCATGTTCACAGAAGCAAGTGTTTAAAGGGTGCATTTCCTTCCTGCTATACTTGATTTCTTTGGGCTCCTTATTTTTGCTTTCACCTGGTCTCATGAATCCTAATTTTATATCGCTTTCAAAAATCGTGAGTCTTGCTGTATCTCGTAATTGCGTTTGACCTTTTAGATGAGTTTATGTCTTTGTGCCATGGAAGTTGTCCCCCTCAAAATCTTTTGAAAACTGTATAAATTGTATCGTTGAGATTTCCTTAAGGAGAATGTCAGTTTGGGCCAATTTTTTAATGTTTTGCTTTAAGTGGGGGGAGGTATCAACTTTTAGGGGGAAAAAGGATTTTGTCTTTTATAGTAAGAGCTGGCCTGATGGCTCTGGTGACCATCTCAGACGCTGGAGGAACATTCTTAAAGATGCATCCACATTGCCCTGACAGCTTCGTAACATGACCCTTGGCAGTCCTCTGCGGCAATGGTTTGTCCGTCCTACCTTAGAGGACCGTAGGAATGCCTATCCTAGGCTTCTGTTGCATGTGCTTTTTAAAAAGCCAGAGATTTCACATGGCATCCTTGGGTCTCGTAACCAGCTGACAGGAGAGGAGATGGCAGTGACATGCCAGCCTTTGGCCCGACCCCGCAGCTCGTCAGTGTCTCCGTGCACATTATAGTAACTCATGGATGATGTGAAGGAGTGCCGCCCCGCATTTGGAACCACGGCCTTCTGCCAGAGCAGATCAATACTTGAGCTGTCTGTCTATAGCGCTCACCTTCCTTTCACACAGTGAGACCCTTCTGCAGTCAGCGATCGATAGCTCTAATCCGTGGCAGCCTGCAGCAAGTCATGCAAGGCAGAGCACTTAGGTGGCATTACATGGGACTGTGGAGGCAGCAGCTCTGGGGCTTAGATCATAGCATCCGTCCTAGGGACACATTCCATTTGTAATGTGTACTTTTAATCATCTCTGCCATGGATCACCATTCCTCTGAAACTTGATTCAGGGAAATGCACATGTGTGTGTGTTTGTGTATGCATGTGTGAATTAGAGACAGATATTCATTCCCTTCTCAGACTGTATACAGCCTTCCCTGTGTGCTGCTGCTCCTGACCATCACTGCGTCACTACATATCTAGGCAGTTTTGTCTACTGCTTTGTGCTGCAATTGTTTCTAGTCTGGGTATTTTTAAAACATTAAAACTTTAAAAATATATGTATTTGAAATCCCAGTAACTGAAGAGCATTCTTACTCTAGCATGTACTTTCCTACAAAACATCACTGGAAGACAGTGAGCACCGGATGTCACTCCCGTCTTTGAATGGCTGTGACCAAGTGAAAGGCTAGAGAGTGAAGATCTGCCTTTTCAGGACCATTGGGGCCAAAGGAGCTTCCGCCTAGGGATTAGCTTTGGAACTACCCCTGTGGCATCCTCGGAAGGCAGAGTGGGGAGTCAGGAAAAGCCCCTTCCAGTTACAGCTAGTGTTCGACTTACAACCACGGTCGGGACCGCGTACCTGTCGCAACACGATTTGGTCGTAAGTTGAGTAGGCTATATGTACAGTTGAAAGGGTGCACGCGGAGATGGTAGTGCTGCCGGAAGCTACTGTCGTACGCCCAGCTGGGCAACGTTTGCATTGCCAGACGCAGAGCAGTCGTGGCTAGCGATTGTGGTCGTAAAGTCGAATGGTCGTAAGTTGCATAGGTGGTAAGTCGATCAATACCTGTATTTACCTGGCCTTCCAATCCTCATTCCATTTCCGTATCTAGTTATCTTGATTTTATCTGTGGACTTCAGGATACAATGTAAAGTTAAGGGCTGATCTAAAAAAAACAAATATGTGGGAGACAAGTTCGAACCAGGGTTTCTGGCCACTGTTGTGTGGGGGTCCTACAAGGAGCAGGCAGCAGTGGCCAGTACAGGTATTGATCAACTTACCACCTATACAACTTATGACCATTCGACTTTACGACCACAATCGCTAGCCACGACTGCTCCGTGTCTGGTAGCGCAGACATTGCCCAGCTGGGTGTACGACAGTGCGGACCAGCTTCCGGCAGCACTACCATTTCCGCGTGCACCATTTCAACTGTACATATAGCCTACTCCACTTAGGACCAAATCGTGTTACGACCACGGTCAGGACCTCGGACCGGTCGTAGAGCACAGCTCTACAGCCAGTGCTCGACTTATGACCCGTCCGTGGTCCCGACCGTGGTCGTAAGTTGAGCACTGGCTGTAGAGCTGTGGGTGTAATGCCTGCTGTGTGCGAGAGCCTCAGCGGCTGCGTGCCAGTCAGAGAGGACTGGTTTCCAAATTCAAACATGCTCGAACAAATCAGTGACTGACACTGTATTTTACCCAAAGGTGTCTCATGGTATGTAATCTTTATTTCAAGCTCTGTGGCCTTTTAAACTCTGTGCTGATCCTCTCACCTTTAAGGCCACTTTAACTGATCTGCACCTCACAGGCCACTGCATCCTTTCTATTTTTCACAGAGTACAGATGTCACCTTTGGAGAACCCCTTAGGTTGAGCTTAGCTCACAGGAAAACTTCTGAGAAATCAATTTTTCTGCAAGAACCAGGCAGTTCTCTCTCATATTTATACACATCCTGCCCTATGAAATAGAGGTGCAAGGTGCATTTGTTGCTGGAGATGATCACTCAGTAAAGTGTCTTCTACTTAGGGCTTAAAAAAAAATCTTGGCAAAAAAATGATCAACAGATTCTGATAGTCTCATTCATATTCCCAGACACCAATTCTGAAAAGTCCAAAAGCATTTTTCATTAGTATACTCATTCATTCAACAGAATACCCATTGGCCACTTCCTGTATGCCAGGCACTGTGCTGTTGCTGTGGGTGCACAAATGGAAGGCACAATGCCCACCCTGGAGGCGCTCTTTGTTGAATACAGAGCACACTAGGGAAGAGAGCAGTGCATGGTTTCCAATGACTGTGATGCAGAGTGCAGCCCAGAGCCGCAAGGAAGGCGTCCCACGGAGGGCCTGTGACCTGGCCATTTGGAGGGTGAATAGGAGTCACAGGGATTTGATGGAAGGAAGGAGGGTTCAGAAAAAGTAAATGACTTTCAGCAGAAGAGAGCCTTTGCTAAACCTGGAACCATCAAGAAACTTAGTGATCTCGGAGCCTTAGAGGCTGCTAGGAGCCCGAACCCACCCCCCAGTAATCAGACCTGGGTTCCACAGCACCCAGATGTGCACACATCATTCCCTGCCTCCACTTCTCATCGCTGTCTCATCTCACTGTCTGCCAGACACCTTCCCCCATCCCACGTCGTAGACCCCTCACTCATAAGGAGATATGCTGCTGTCTTATGGTGAGTGAGAAGTACAAGACTGAGGGGAGAAGCTGCTTGGAGCTCTACTCCTGGGCCACTTGGAGAGACATCTGTTTACTTAGCTGCACCGTTCTTTGCCCTGTCCCAGGCACTGAGAACCTCACATATTTTATTTAGTTATTAAGCAATCCTATCAGGAAGGCATAATTATGATCCTATTTTAGTATGTTATGCAAACACAATGCGATGTCTAATACAACACAATTATGTCACAAACTTTAAAAAATACAATTGAGGGAACAGAAACCCAGAGAAGTTAAATAACTTGCCTGAGGCCACACAGTTTTGTGAGTAGTAGCCAGGACCTGAACTGTCAACTCATTGCTCCCCGCCACCCAAGTGCCTGGTCAGCACCTCCCCATCAGGACCCAAAGATGCCTGTGGAATTTTACATGCATTTCAGTGCAACTTTTTAAAGCATGTTGGATCAGTTGGCCAGATTTATAACTTGTGATTTACAGCTGACTTTGATAAGCCACAAATGCTAGTGTCATGTTTTAATGAGACTGAAGGCATGAACGAGCAGATTCTACTCTTGAGGCTGTTGTGGGAACACACCGGCCGCCGACATTGCACTAACCCCTCTGAAGGCCGGCATTGTCGCCAGGCTCATTAGCATCCACGCTCCTCGCTGGGCCGTTGCTGCTCGCTAGCTCACCAGCTGTTCCTGCTGCTCAGTACAATGTCGGATGTGTTCAGCTCACTGGGTTCCTGTCCTCGCCGCCCGGAGGAGACAGCCCTTCCGCTGGGGATACACACGTGGCTGCCTGTCAGCGGTGGCACCGAATAAAGTAATAGGCCTTCGCATGGCATATGGTGTCTGGATTCGTACAAGATGCAAAACTGTTCTGCAGCTAATGCACGATGACTCATAGCATTGCTAATTTTTCAAACAAAAACTGACTTCCACACCCACACTTTTAACCCCTCCAGCTAAAAAGTCTTAAGTTGCAAAGCTCTAGAAGCGTGACTTTTGGGTTGCTGTATAAAATTGTTATACTTACTGAAAGCATATGAAATGACTTGCTTTACTTTGGATTGAATTCATCTTAAATTTACCTCCTCCATAAATGGGGAATTTTCAAGCTTTATCTTTCAATTTCTTTTTCACATTTGAAGAGTCTAAACAGTTTGGTAGATTTGTTTTAAAAGCTGTTATTAGAAAATCGGTCGGAAGGCATTATATTAGTTCAGCACTTGAAACTGTTTATTAGAAGTTAACTTTCTCTTTTAAAAGTTTCATAGAAACTGTTGCCTAATATTCTTATCAATTCAGGTATGGAGCATTTTGAGCTCCTCACATTATCATATTTGAAAGCTGTAACAGAATGTTGATCCTTTTATGGAACATGATTTTGCATAGTCTTTTCTAGTATACTAAATCCAAAGCCCATTTAAACAACCACATTCTGGCAATACAAATGTAGATTATAAATTTATATTAAAATGGCCATTTTTCAAACTAGAAAAATACATGGGATCTTCTGAAAGAATGTCCTTTCTCAACTTTGAATCAGTTGTGCTAATAGATAGCTACATTCAATCTCAGACTTTAGGTCCTAAAATAAAGCAGCTATTTGCATTTATATAATCAGGCCTCCCTTTGAAGTCATGATCAAAATATTGGTTCTTTTATAAATAACCTTTTATTGAACATTTTATTTAAACATTTCAGAGGCAAGAATTGCCATCATAAAATGATTAGGCAGTTTCTAATTATGGATCAGTAAGTGTTTTGTAGTCAGTCTGGCACATGACACTTTTGCAATCAGAATTTGGCAAATGGATGAATTTATAAAGGAACTTCAACCTAGGAGAGTAATACAGATTTTTTTTAAAATGATTACTTTTTGCAGCCCCAAAAGATGTCTTTCAGGGAGCAGGCTAGAGACTCTGAATTGATGTTTCATTTAGACTCATGTTTGAGTCTAAAGTTTTTTGCTTTCTGATCTACAGATATTAATTCAAATGTGCATCTAACTTATAAAGGGCATTCTATTCTCTAAAAGAGAATCAAAAAAATATAAAAATTCTAAATAGGCTTCACATTCTATATTCCAGTTTTGATACCATTTTTCCAGCATGCTCTCTAATTTTGCCCTTTGCCATCAGAAATAACCTGGTATGCATTTGATGTAGCTAAAAATGTATTAGACACTTAAAATTTTCCACGTTTGGCATATATGAGGATTTCCAATTTTGCTTTCACTGCCTTGAGTTTAAGACCCATATTTGTTGTTACTCCTACTGGTACCTTCATTTTATCCTATTACCACTCATTTTTATGAAATGAGGGCAAAATTCCATGGAGTATTCAAATAATGACCTAAGGACAGAAGTGAAAACACTACTGAGCCTGAACTCTTGGTCAGTACTTAGTGTCTGCATGTAACTGATAAAATGCTCTCTCATCAGCCAATGGACCAGAGGGCAAACTCAGCTCCAAAAGACAGTTTAGGACATTAGTGCATGATGTACAAAAGCACAGGCTGATCACAGGCACCCAGAAGGACCATTATTCTCACTCTTGGTGACAGCCTTGCAGAATGAGACTGTGTTAACCCACAGATGGGGAGAGTGAAGCTCGAGGAAGCCGGGTCTTGGCCTGGGGCCCACAGCCAGGGCAGGGCTGGGATGAGAGCCCAGACCAACCTGACTACTATGGCTGTTTCTCACTTGTGCACACTTTTGACCTAAGAATAGGAGACCATCAAAATTATACAGCTTTGAGAAAGTGAAGCAATTCCAATTAATTTTAGCTTGTTCTGTCATTATTGTTACCAAATGGATTCTACCCTTTAAACCTTGTTTGTATGGAATAAAGACAAAAACAAAATTATTGTAAGTTAGGATGGAAAGTATTCCCATTTTGATACCATGTGTATATCTCATATCAGAATACATGTACCTTCCAAATTAAAAAGCAGAGAAAATATTAAGTTTAAATATTCTTACTGACATATCCCACTTAGAGTCTATCCCAAAATAAGCACCTAATTGATGTTACTCAGTGTGCTTTTCTCTTGATAAATAGTTGAGGACACAGTTTCATCACAGTGATTTTTCCAGTTTATTGCTAGCAAGATATTTATTTGTAGGTGTGGAATCCATTTATATTCCACCTCTTTCTAAAATAGATTTGAAAGACCTTACATGAAGGTCATGTGTAATGAGAAAGAGAAAATCAAAGCCCAGGAGTGAGGGTGAAAATAAGAGCATCTGAAGGTATACAGAGCATCCACAGTCATGGCTGCGGTAGCAAAGCAGGGCATCCCCATTGACTACTGCTGACCTCTAAAGCTTGCTGTAAGGTGTGACTACCACTTGTCTTCGGGCCATTCTTGTTCCAAAGTTGTCAATTACTTTAAATGAAATTATATCTTGTCTAAGTTGGAAGACATAATAGGTCACTGTAGTGAAATATGTTCCAGACAACAGCATATATTCATAGGAAATTTTTAATATCAAAATGATTTTCTATTCTACCCCATGAGTTTAAAAGATATCTTTGGAGCAGACATGCAAGTTCATGTGCATCACAAGCTAATTAATAAGATAAATAAATAAATAAAAAGTTAAGGGCTTGACAGTAGCTGACAAAGTGAAGAATTAATTAGTGACGGGGAAAGCATGATTGAAAAATAATCTTAATGCCCACATTAGCTGGGTAGCTGCTTTTGCTAAGCCTTTTAGTTTAAAAAGCCCAAGTACCTGACATTTTGCATCTGTTTTTCTGTGAAGATAAAAGGAAACTTGAGTGTCTCATTCTCAATAATGGATTTTATGTGACAAAAAGGTTTCTGCTCTGTTCATTTCCATGGCCAGGCATTTTTATATTATTGCCCCACTAACTGTTATTTCACGTTTAACTCTTTGTAGACTCGTATGGCTTTCCTCAGCCCTGGGGTTGGTATGGGATTGAATGATGTCCAAGGTGCCCTGTGTACTAGGCACTTCCATCCATGCTGGTCTTCTTGTTACCATGTTGCAGGACTTGTTGCCCTATAATGCAGCTCTTCTCTCAGGTTTGTTTACTTGTGATCACTATGTAATCATTCACTTTATGGAGCTTCATTAAGGACTGCAAACCTCTGTCCCAATTTAGCGTCATTCAAGCGTAGGTAGCATCCATCTGCTCCACCCGCACTGTTTAATTAATGAACTTCATAATGTGTTTTTGCCTGTAAAAGCGCTCTGTCTCCTCAGGTTGTTGAATGAGATGTGCATTCCAGGTTTTCTGTGTTAAGATTCTAGAAAGACCGCCATGGGAGGTGCTAATTATGTACCCACCAAACTCCTGTTAATTCTAAACTTGAAGGCAGATTTACTTTATTTTTTTTTTCAATATATATTCATAAACACAAAGCCTGGTCACTTTTTGAGTAAGAAATCACTGGCCAGTTTTCATAGTCTTTCCCTTCGGTAGGAGGAAAGATTAACATTTTTTAAAAGCTATATTTTCTTTCAGTCAAGTAAAAATATACTTGTTACTTTGAGGTGTTTCCTTTTGAAATTAAAGTTATGGAAATGCTTGAATGTCAAAAATGCTACTTCTGTTTTCCAATATTTCTTTCCATAGAATTGCCTGGGAAATTTTGTAGAATAGATTCTTGTAAAAGTAATGGAGTAACAACTGTTTTTCTTGGAAAATAGTAAGACTCAAGTAATACTTTTTCTTTTTGAATTTCGTTATCTGTTTAATTTTTAGTGTGATTAGTGCGTTATAAAATTCTACCTGGATTTAGAGGTGTTTTGTTGGCACCTGTTCAAAGACCTGATAAATTTGGTATTATATGGAAAATAGCATATAACTAGCCACATTTATTTACTTAACACTTTTATTACCAACTAAGACCAGGAGCCTAAGCCTGATTTTCAACAACCAGACAACCTATGGTTCATGTGCCTTTTCTTAAAGCCTGTTTAATATTGAGATTAAACTCCTCTCTACCCTGTCAAGTACTCTCAAGTCCTGGAATTTCTTTCTATCTTGAAATATGATAGGGTTCTACATTCATGTTTTATTCAGCCATTTTCATCACAGTGGAAAATATATCTGAATACCCATTTTTCAAAAATAATTTTTATCTACCCCCATCCAAACTGGGGAGGGAAGAGAACTATATCTGTGTTCTCATCTAGCCATTATAAATAGTTAACACATTGGGAAATCAATGTTAAAGCTTCTTCACACTAAGTACCATGAGGGTAAAATCAAAAAGGATGAACAGTTGGAAGAATAATTGGTACACAAGGAAGGAAGAATGATGTCCCCTTTTTGCTCTCCCTTCTCAACATTTATAGAACTGCATGTAGTCAGGGACCTGGCACGTCCCTGACCACACTGTTGATGCAGGGCAGGGATCCTCAGATACTGTCAGTGGGGCCCAATCCAGTAGGCAAGAGACTGTCCTACCTCACCCCCTACAGGTGCGCAGAAAAGCAGCTTCATGATGACAAAAAAAAGAAAAAAGAAAAAGAAAAACACATTGTGAGATGAACTCTGCCCCTTATTTTATACTGGGTTGAATTGCATGAAATTGTTGATATTTGACTGTTTGACCTGGTAAAAAAGGCAATTTGATATAATTCAACCGAATTTTTTGCATTACAAAGCATAGAGAATGCGTGAAAACCAACTTTGTTTACTAACCAGAGGAATCTGTGCACAGGAGCTGTGATGAGGGTTTAGCTGCCTTGACAGTATATCTGCCAGAGCCCAGGAGAGTGTTTATGAAGCTTCTCTGGAGCCCCTTGCTGTTGAGCGCTCTGCATCTTGAACCATTTTGGTCTGTGTTCGGGACCATCTTTTTCCTTTAGCATGGTGTTTGTGTAGCTGGTTTCTCTGGGCATTATGCCCAGTAGTGAATGTTATTTTTGTTTATTGTATGCAGCGTCTCCAATCCTGTTTTAGTGATAAAGCCTTTAAAAATCAATTAACAAATGAAATACATCTTTGCCCGGGGAACTTTTGAATTGCTTGCCATGTTGGTACATTCTCAAAACTGTCACTAAGTCAGACAGCTGACCACCTTCCAGTGCTGGACAATGGACAGCCCCCTTCCTTTATTAACTCATTAAAAAAGGGACTAAAACCACTTTTATCTTAATGAAATAAAAAGCACAAATGGAAAAAAATTATCTTTGCTTTATATGCAATTGTGTTAAAATCTACAAGCAAGATAATTAAAATGCTGTCTCTGCCAATCAGCTGAGAGATCAGTTTAACTGGGTTTTGACTTGATGACACATGGGCTATCAAGGTAATACGTAACACAACTATGGCAGCCTGAGAGTTCCAGAGTGGAACTGGCCTTGGAACATTTCCTAAGTGTGAGTTTGGGCACAACCAGCCAAAGAGGCTCGGTGACTTGTCACTCCAGAGAACACATATAGTGTTCTTACCCTGTCACGGCCCCAGACACATTTTGAATCTGCAGGAACTAGTTCAACCCAGCAAGTCACTCACTTTATCATTTATGTAGAACCACTGGGTCCAGTGGAATATTTGCCCTCTGCATTATACCTGTACCCAAACAAGCCAGCTTTGTATTACTCAGGGCAGTGCTGAGCAGTGCAGTGTCATCTATGCATAGTAATGCATTTGCTTTCCACAGAGGTCCTGCAGAGCCAAGGTACTGTCATTTCTTTTTCAGGTGTTGGCTGCTGCTTTCCTCCTCCTCATCATTCTCATCTCCTCCTCCTTGTTAGTTTCAAAACCTATTTACATTGATGCAAAGTAATTGCAGTTTTTGCCTTTAAAAGTAATGGCAGTCTAATAGTTTGAAAATTTACCTCCTTCACTGTAAAATGATGTGGTTTTCAAAACGAAGGATTGATAATGTGCTGGTGTATGTGTTTAACTAATTTAAAATGCATTCAGAATTGTTTTTTTCATTTCTCTAAATGGTTTTCACTTGTTTTTATGTGAAACCTTCAAAATGGGGAAGTTGAGGGGGGCTATCTCAAATTTTTGTCTTTTAACCGTCCATACCTACTAACTAGAAACATATACATTCATTCAGCAATCTAAAGAGGTTACAGTTTTGATTTCTATAAAGAACATGTACTTAAGTAAGAATATAAAATTTTACTAACCACAGCTCCTATTAAAGAGGATTTTAAAGAAAAAAAAAGTTGCCACAGCACAGAGATGATACTTTAGCTCTAAGAAGAAATGGACTATGTTTGTAAATACAGTCATTTAAAAAATTATTTTTCCAAAGCAAATGTGCATTGTTTAGTGCTAGCAGAATGCATTAGTTTTGGCTCTGAGTCCAGCTTTTCAGAAAATGCTTATGAGTTCAAATCTTACAGCTTCTTTCAAAGCAGTTGCTGGATTTTGTCAGTTTTTCTTTTTAAGAGTATGCTTATTTGCATACTGGTCCTTAAAATCGCAAAGACATTGGGCAATTAAATTTATTTATAATGAAAATTACACGGAAATGTAATTCCTAAGAACCTGTTTGACCATTAATCAGAAGTGTTTTGGTGCTGTGAGAGGAAAGCACTGTAGAGGCTACGCTGTAGATTCCTTTACCCATCCCTGGCAGGCAGCCATGGAGAAGATAGCCTAGTTGGGTGGGTGGGTTGATTGGCCTTTTTTTGTTACGGTTTATTTTTTAAACAAGAGTTTGAAGAGGCACCCCTTTGTGAGTGATGTGGACTAGTCAGGGCCACAAGTTGAGCCAATGCCCAGATCAGATTATGGGGGGGAGGATCTCCCCAGCTTCTAGTTCCAGGAACACAGTAAATATCATTCAGTGGCCCCCATACTCAGAACCAACATCTGACCAATATATTTATTCCATTATCTATCCTTCTGCCATGCAAAATTCAGCACTTTTCATGTAGCAGGCTTCCATCTTCATGAATCTCCTTGCAAAACTCAGGCACTTATGGAATAGTCAGACGTTAAATTTGAGCATCTCAAGTTACAGTAATTCCCCCTTATCCACAGGGGATACATTCCAAGATGCCCGGTGGATACCTGAAACCTCAGGTAGTACCAAAACCTATATAGTCTATGTTTTTTCTATACATACATACCTATTATAAAGCTTCATTCTAATTTAGGCAAAATAAGAAAATAATAACCAATAATAAAATGAAACAAGTATAACAGTATACCAGCATCACTACTTTGCATTTTGGGGACATTATTAAGTAAAATAAGAGTTACTTGAACACAGGTACACACAGCAGAGCACTAGTGATGCTGCAGCTATTGGTCCTGTAAGTGACTGTTAGGCAGCACATATGGCATGGACCCACTGGACAAAAGGAAAGAACAGTGTGCAATTTAAAACATGAATTGTTTATTTCTGCAATTTTCCATTTAATATTTTCAGACCTTGCTTGACTGCAAGTAACAAACTATGGAAAAGGAAATCATGGAGAAGGTGGGACTGACTACTCTGTTAACAGTAACATGAAAAATACCAAGTGTTGGTGAGACTATAGAACAACTGGAACTCTTTGTCTTGCTTTTTGTTGTTGTTGTTGTTGTTGCTGTTTGTTTTGTGACAGCTGGAGTACAATGACACAGCCTTGGCTCACCAGAACTTCCGCCTCCCGGGTTCAAGCGATTCTCCTTCCTCAGCCTCCCAAGTACTGGGACTACAGGGGTGCGCCACCACACTTGGCTAATTTTTTGTATTTTTAGTAGAGACAGGGTTTCACCATGTTAGCCAGGAAGGTCTTGATCTCTTGACCTCGTGATTCACCCACCTTGGGCTCCCGAAGTGCTGGGATTGCAGGCATAAGCCACTACGCCCAGGAGAACAACTAGAACTCTTAAATGGTGCTGGTGGAAATGTAAATTGGCTCAATCAACCACTTTGGACAACTGGCAGTATTTGCTAGGCTGATCTGCAGTGTATCAGGAGGGGAGTTGTCCTTGCAGTAAGGGGGAGAGTGTCTGGAAAGCAGCAGGAAGGTGCTGGTGACACTTCCTTTTTTTTTTTTTTTTAATCAGGGTGCTGGTAACATGAGTGTGTTCAGTTTGTGAAAATTCATTGAGCTGTACACTTCTGTGTATTGTGTGTGTGTTTGTCAATAAAAAGTTTTAAATTTTCTTGAAATAAGTAAGAGCTCCTCAAAATTGGAAAACGAGGCAATGTGCTAGGGTGTAGGCGAGTCCCAGGAGACGCATAGCATACCTTTGCAGATCATCAGCAGCACTTGATAGTTAATCATATACAACATTTTTGTATTAAAATAAATGCAAAACATGAATTTGCATTCATTTTTGACACGTACCTGACACATTTCTTGATTGCAGGCCCCTGGAGGTCCTGCTGTCCCATTCTGTGGCCCTGTACAGAGGGGAGGATTCCAGAGGAAGTTTGTGTGTTGCATTGCCGTAAACAATGATTCCCAACCCTGGCTGCACATGTAATCACATGAGGAGTTCCAATATTGACCGATGCCCAGCACCCACCCCAGAGATTCTGGGTAACTTGGTTTAGAGTGGGGACCAGGCATTGGTGCTGTTTAACCACCAGGTGATTCTCACACGCATCCAGGAAGGAGAGCTTCTGCCCTAAGGCATTAAGCAGCCCCCTTAGCAGGGATTCACAGATGCCCAAGGACTAGGAAGAAAGGATTGCTGCCGCTGTGAGAGATGGAGTCAGGATTCCCCCATGGTTTCTTCCAGATCTGAGAGTGAAAGATAGCGGCTATCAGCTATCCAGGGCTTAGCCTTTGTTGTGCACTGTATTAAGCATTTCATGTGGGTACCACTGTGTTCACTGTTTAGCCGTGAGGAAACTGAGGCCCAGAGAGGTCACCTGACTTCCTCAAGAGCTTTGTAGTGGTTATGGTGGGCATGGAGCACAGGCAGTCTGACCACAGAGCTGGACTCCACCTTACATGGATGTCATGTGGTAAGCCTTGCACAGCATCCTGGTAGGCAGAAGGAAGTTAGGGATGCTGGAAGATTGAGGTGGCTGCAACTATGAAAGACAAGCAGCACCAGCTTCACAATTAGGGGTACTTGGTATGGGATACCCAAGGCTCAAGAGATACAAGGGAAAAAAAGTGAAGATCAAGAGGCATCTGGGGACATCACTTCATAGTTCCCCCACCCCCCCAGAAAATAATGCAATGTCAGAAGCGTCATCATCTGGATTATCTCAGTTCGAAGACATCCATTCACTGGAGGACTGCTTCCCCCATCCCCACCCAAAAACATGCTTTTCCTGCATCCTTCCTGAATGCAATCCCCTGTAAATTATATCCCCATGCCATGGTAATTTTACAGATCCTTCTGGTAGTACAATCTGACCATTTTAGACCTTTGTTAATTGATCAAAGGGTTAAAAGCATAAAAACTATGTAGCTTTAAGGAAAATGTGGATATTAATGCTTTTCTTTAATCTATAATAATGACTGGTTTTAGTCAGAATGCTTTAAATGCAGCTATTGTAAAATCTCTGCCCCTGTATCAGTGGTTAAGTATCATAGTCCATTGATAGAGCT